ACCCACTTTCCTCATTCCATCTTTTGTTTAATGCTCCCTTTTGCTGAATTTACCCGTAAGAAACTCTCAACGAGAGCTGCATGGAGTCATAGAAATATTTAATGAGTAGTATAGTGCTTTTTGGCAAAGTAAATACCACTTCCTTAAGTACGAAAGACCATTTTCTACAGAAAAGTAGTGTACTTGCTTGGTTTTTTTTTCTTTCATAGGATGGCTATTTACTTACGTCGAGAGCCTAAGACGCGATTGTGGGGTATTTTGTTTGGATTCCAGATTCGATTTAACAAGAGGGGTAAGTTTTGAGACCGTAAAAACAAAGGATTAAATCGCCGAGGAAGACTCAAACCCATCATTTCAATTGTTATTTGTAGGTACATCTGACGAGGCTGGCGGATTCCCTAATGTGGAATTCTCTCCAGGACACTCGGTTGAGGGATGTGTGTACGCGATAACAGACACAGAACTGAAGATGCTGGATAACTGCATGGGTTATCCTACGGTCAGTCAAAGAGCCAGAGAAATTCCTGTTAAGTATTTTATTTTACTGATCAAGTGTGACTCTGATGAATCGTAAGACTCCTGCTTTTACAATTTTTATGTCAATTTATTGTACATGAACGTGAAATATAGAGTTTTTCACCCACATAAACCAATACAAGGGCTTTTTTTTAATCCAACGGTACATAGCCTTGGTGCCCTAGTTCGTAGTTACCCTTTCAGTTTCCTTTATTCATTTATTTTTTTTATTATTATTATTATTATTATTATTATCACTATTATTATTATTGTTGTTATTATTATTATTATTATTATTATTGTTGTTTTTATCATCATCATCATCATCATCATTATTTGTAGCATTACACTCGAGTGGTTGTACCGGTTTGGATGCTGAACTGTGCCAGTCCTTCTGAACACGGTATAGCTCAGTACTGTATACCAGCGGTTTCGTATATTGCTCAAGATGAGTGGATCGTTAATGGTAAGCTGTGGAATATTTTCATTTTCTACGTTGCGTAAATTGTAACGGTAATGCCCCTCTCCCTTAGTCAATATATGTGCCGTGTTAAATCATTTTTCCGAAGGTTCCTAACTTTTTGTTTTTCAAATAGTTTTTTAGATAATTTTTAATGTGGGTATCGTTTGTTGCCTTTTGAATCGTTTACTACACGTCATTTGGGAATAAGTTCAAAGCGCTATCTTTCCTTGTTGGTGTACCTTTTCGCTCTTTGCAGTCTACCAGAAGCATACTGCAAGACCAAGCTGCTGTCGAATTTCTTTTTTTTTTTAAATTTGATCATTGAAGACTCATATTTTTCTAGATAATTTGGTTTTATCAACTGAGTTAATAATGCAAATTGGTCATCGTAGAGAGTCTCTAAGCTGGCGTTTCGAGCGTTAGCCATCATTCGCTGTTCATTAGCCCTTCATGACGAAGGGCTGACGTTGGAAATGTCAACTTAGAAACTATTTATATTTACGGTGGCCAATTCACATTATCTAATCAGATCATAAACCAAATTATCTTGTTATACTCCCCCACCTACGTAGCACCACAGTTTCTCCAGAAACTTACCTCTTTATTCATATTTTTCTGGTAAGAAAACGGATCCTACGAGAATGAAAGATGGGAATTAATGGAAGTCTACGAAAGCGAAAGATACCGATGCACGCACTACTCAAAACTACTAACGTAAAGAGTACTTAACTTTTTTCGACAGTTGCATACTTGCCATCTACATGTAAAGATAGATTATTTTGCAAAGAAGTCTTTTTATTTTTTTACATTGTAGATTTATCACAAAAGTTGGAGTGTCGCTACAGCGTGAGCCAATGTTTGAAAGCCTCAGACATACTAACACCTAACTACGTCAAATTCTTGACCGACCAAGCAACCACCTAGCACAAGATGTGGGCCTAGAATGGAGTATTGAATATCTGACCTCTTTAAACTTTAGTACGATCTTCTATAAGCAGTCAGGCGTATTGATCCATACTCGTATTTCTGTCTAGTACAATACCTCCAAACATCACGCACATGCATAACTGCCGTCACAACAAAGGTGGGGTGGGGGGGGGGGGGGGGTTCACTTCATCATTCTGTCTTTGTTTTAGAGACTCGCTGAAACTTCCAAATTCTCTTCAAAAGAGCTACGTAACGTTAATGCTATTCTGAGTTCTTGCGATATGCAAAATGACCTAAAAACTACGATTAAGTCCTCGTCAGTCAGTTTATATCTAGCAGATATCAGTTAACCTTTTCACGAATTCAGAAAGAATGTAATCTTAACAAAAATACTTTTTACCTGCAGTCGATTAACAATCACGGCTTCTAGAATTTTAAATTGTTTTCTAGTTGAGAATATGTAAATTTGTAGGAAAGGAGTGTCAATTATTGTTTTTACTTGTTTTTGACCTTCTAGAGAAATGTTTTCGTTAATCTCTGTCTGTATCAACTACGGACTCTGCCCAGTTAGGTCCAAAGTTGGTGAAAATATTCTTGATATCAGGTTTCGCATGATAACAGGGGTCCCAATCTCAGCAACTAGACAGGTGTTTTCCTGTGGAGGTTGCTAGGCTTATTGCCCTGCAACAGCTCAGGCAGTAAGTCAAGTCCCTTGGTGGAGTGTGGTTGAGTTAAAAGAAGGCGGGAGGGGGGGACACTTATCCATTGACTATGTTTTCCAAAAAAGTATGTGAAAAAAGGGTTGAAAAGCACCAAAGAAGAAAGGCTCCAGTTGTCTCTGCAGTCTTCTCAACTCTACGTTTCTCCCCTGTGTCTTCTAATCAATCAAGTTCTACTACGGCTAACTTCTAGTGATACCTCCTGGCTGACTACCCTGAGTACACGCATTTGAATACTTGTTAGGGAGGTATGAGTGCGCATACGAGCCGCCTGTCCTGGTAACAGAACCTCTCATTTTAGAAAACTGTCCTAAAATACGTCATGACAATCAAAAAAATGAATAACAAGATACTTAATGCTTCTGAGTAAACGTTCAATCTTCAAATGATAGAGGGTCAAAAGGTACAGGAACTTTATTGAAGGTCCAAAGCATGGACAGTAGGCAAATCTAAACATGGCCACTATGAGAAGTGTGTGTTTAAGAATTAAGCCTTATTGTGGCTAAGGACAACTCAAAACTTTGTCCGCGGGCTTGCAGGGCCTTGAGTCGCAAGGACTGCATAGGGATTTCAAATCAAATGAACGTAAAGAAACATTATTGATAATTAAAAACCTCGATACGCGAACAGAGAAATCAAAGTAAGGAAACTCCATGTCAAGGCTAAACTCTAAACAACCTGGAACTTCAACGAATCGAAACACATCTTAACAACAGAAAATGGACCGATGAGCAAGGTGGTCAGTAAACTGTAGTGATTTTTTATTTCCTTTATTATGCATTCATAAGTCGAGGTTGAAAACTCGGCTCAATAAATAATTTGTCACAATTAATAACTTACACCGCAGTGAGTTGCATGCGTCAAAAAAATCAAACTTTTGCATTAAATAAGTACAGTTTTCGAAGTAGACTTTGAAAAAGTAATAATTATATTTCAACAAGAATAAATAATTTGTTTTAAATAGATCACTAGGATTGAACTTGACCGCTATCAGTCCATGGTGTCATTTAAGACAACTTCCTATTGGCTTCAAACTTGTGCTGAGATAAAGTCTTTGTCTGCCAGTATCATGGCCAGCCCTCTCATGTAACTTTTGAGCTGCGCTATTTCGTGACTGAGGTCCTGGTAACGAGTCTGGCTACCAATCGTTCCCTTACTAACGAACTGAGGGGGGAATGGTGACGTACCATTGAGGTAGAGCTCCTATCAGAGTAACAGAAAAACAACGTTTAGCTGCAGTTATAAGCGGCACGTATTAAAACGGCTGACAATTGGAGAATTCACAACAAAGGTGATCGACAAAGTGTCGGGCTAGCGCTCTCCTAATTGGTTCAAGATCTTCGACAATTACGAAGAAATATTTGGAACGAGCTGCATTTTGTACATTAGAATCCTCTTTTGAATTATCAATTGAAAGAAACGAAATAAAACAGCTCTACTTACCGTCAATTGCATGCTGATGACAAGCCCCCCCATGAGGTTGATACCGTCGTTTACACACAAATTAAATTTCTGATCTGAATTTGAGCTTGGAATTTGACCAAAAAGAAGATAGTATATTTCTAAGTGTTCCAAGTCGAATGAAAGTCTCTGAAGTACCTGTTAAGAAGGAAGAGAACATTATGTTGTGGATGAGCGATTAGAACTTGCCTAAACATTTCCCTAGTAACTTTGTGACATTGACAAAACATCATTGGGAGAACTGTATCACTACTAGTCAAGCTGTTTCCCCTGTTCATGTTGAAGGAATTGTAAGTAACCGATAAAAAACATTGCCTATTTTAATAGTCTGTTGGGCGAATAAGGAGAATAAAAGAAGATTTGAGAGCCAACTTTCCCATTAAATAAACAGCACACGTTTATGATTTTTCTTACGAGGCGTTTCACCTACTTAATCTCGGCATTTCACCCAACTTGACTGCACCAAGAAATGGTAAAAAGCCGTGCCCTAGGATGATTGAGACCCTTATGAGAGGAAAAATAGGGCTGAGGTACTATTTGGAGGGGATATTTGGGAGATTTGGAAGCACAGTTGTTAGCTTAATAGAGAGTCCATCAAGCTTCGCTGAAAGAGAAGAGATGCAAGGAAAATGATTCTGTAACTACCGTAACTCCCATAGAAGAGATGATGGAGTGTGCCATTGAGCTGTTGAAATTGATACTGCCCTGAGGAAAATGAGACAGAAAAAAAGGAAATTAATTTACGAAGAAAAGGCCATCTAGAATTAAAGATGAATTTGTGTCAATCTGTGTGTTTAAACAAAAGAAAAAAAAAAGAAATAGTCATAAGAAAAAATTCCTTCCTCTGCAATAAAATTTGAAAACGAAACAAAATAGATTTAATCATATATTTAAAATTAAAATATAGTTTGATGCTTGGCTGTTAATCACTTTTACGTCCTTTCTGATAAGCTGCCACAAATTGCGACAATTGTATGTTATAAAATTTTTGAGATTTGCATTAAATCTCACACAGTCTTCATAACTTACAAATTTTTCCTGAGTTGTGTTGAGGTGTTTTGTGACGTTCATGCACCAGTCGTCTAAGACTTTATGGGACGCAGGGATTCCAATTTGCACTGCCCCTACCGCTGCAGGGCCGGACAGGGACCTCCTGGTTCGTGGAGTGGAAGATTTAACGCACGATAACATGAATATCGTGGTTAAAACCAAGAGAACTGATAGTTTGTAACCAAGTTGACCTGCAGTTAATTAATCAGTCAATTTATTAGTTGATTCCTCGACTTGTCACTGAATCAGTCGATCAGCCAGGTTGTTGGTTACTCAATGAGTCGGTCAATCTGTCAGTCATTCAGTCGGTCATTAAGTCAGCCATTTAGTCAGTCAATCAGTCATTCGGTTTGTCTTTCAGTCACTTAGTCAGTCAGTTAGTCAGTCAGAGAGTAAGTCAGACAGTAAGTCAGACAGTAAGTAAGCCAGTTAGTCGGCCAGTCAGTCAGTCAGTCAGTTATTAAGTTCATCAGCAAATCAATCAGTCAAACAGTCAGTGAATCGTTCAGTCAGTCAGCCAGTCAGTCAATAAGTTAATCAGGCGGTGAACCAATTAGTCGGTCAGTTAATAAAACAGTCAGCCAGTCAGTTTATCTGTCTTTCAGTCGGTCAGTCAGCCAGTCAGCCAGTCAGCCAGTCAGTAAGTAAGTCCATCAGACAGTCAGTCATTCAATCGATTACTCAACTTATTTATTTAATCAATCGGTAAGTCCATCAGTCAGCAAAAACCCTTTCCAAAGTACGGTAAATGTCAAGCCATAAAGAGTTGACAAATAAAGGTCGTCACAAGTAAAACCAATTTCGTACTTAAATCGTCCCATCATCTGCCTCATAGTTAAACGTAAGGACAAATACCCAACGCATAACCGTAGAAACACGTAGTGAGTGGTCCGTCTCTTATAATAAAAGTGTGATGGTAATTAAGGTTATTTTCAGAGGATCACGCGTAAAATAAAGATCGAAGGCAAGTCACTGTGAGAACCCTTAAAATTTCTCACTACTTGGGTAGCTGTAATAGTTTTATGTTGCATACCTGGCATACTTCAATAAAGTAAGTCTGGATTTCTCCGTTCGTCAAGTATTCAAATATGGTAGAAAATTTCAGAGATATCGATCGCAGTAGTGAAGTTATGCTTTTAATCCGATGGGCCTTTTTTATATGACTTTTTGTTTAATCAAAGGTTAAATCATCTCCTCAGATTTAGGCGATGAATTAGAAAGAGCGAAGCGTTCAAACAAGAAGCAATATTCATTAATATCACACAATTCTTTTGTTGTCAATTCTTTCTCAGGGGGAGTTTGGTTTTAATATTTGCTAAGGAAAAAACCGGAAAGATTTCTGTTCCTTGTTTATTAATAGTAAACCTAGCCTTCACTAAATGGGAATTGAGACATCAGTTCATTTAGTTCAGTTCAATTAGTTCTGGAAATTTTATATTTCTCAGTTTCAAAAAGGTTGAAAAGCGTATCCTCAGGGTTTATTTATTCTATGTTTTGACCACTACTTTATTTAAATTAAAGCAAACAAGCTCTCCTCCATCACGTATTTACTTGATCGTACACATCTGTATGTAAAAATGACTCTTACTCTCGGAGGGTAGAAAGACCCAAACGGAAACGAAGTAAATCCTATTTTTTGCGGTAAACTTCCTTTTCCGAGAGAGCAAGCTACGTGAAAACATCCGCACTTGATTGCGACATCATCGACCGTGCACGGAATCAGCGAAACAATTTACGTCTGTCTCCTCATTCTTCCCGTCCCATCTCTGAAAGGAAATTACGTCACTGTTTTAACGCTCTAGAAATTCTGCTTAGTTGCTTTTATGAAATCGTCTTTGAATCCTCTACAAATACATCGTAATTATTCTTGTTGTCTTCATGTTTGTTTATAAACTATTAGCTTTATTTTCTATATTATGAAGAAATTGTTTGACAATTTCTTCCTAATGAAAGACGATTTTTGACTTAACAATGAAGCAAACTTATAGTGATGATGTTCTTCAATTCTGTGTCTCTATTAAGGATTATTAGAGAATGAAATTAGCCTCTACGCCTTTTTTTAAAATGAAATGAAAAGGTTCTTATCAAATTTATCTCGAAATCTTTAGCTAAATTAAAAACTTAAGAGGAAAAAGAAAAACTTTGTCAAATGCAGTGGTCATCGATGGGACAAACGTTAACAGCTGCTGTCTTGAGTCGAGAAGGGAATGTCTTAATACTAAAGATAGAAACATTGCTAGGTCATACCTTTGATTACAATAGTAGTGAGCTGATAATCAGCTCACGTAAGCGAATATATAATGACGCAGAGTAATGGCCATTTTTATCGAGAAAAAATAAAGGAAAAGAACACTTCTGAAACATTCATTTTGGGACTAGCGGAACAATTCATCCCGCCGCTGGAGGATTTCGTTTCGTGGAAATCAATCCAGTTTTGCTCCACCTAAGTCTGTACTGATGCAAATCAATCCATATATTGAGCATGTAGAATTAAAGAAAGAAAATTACATTTTACACTTGAAGTTGAGCAATCTCTTACGTCACGGAGAGGAAATATATCGCAATGTTTTCCATGACTAAGTTGTGAGTAAAAATAATCCCCTAGAAATTAAATCGATCTTAGATGTTTTTCCACGGACAAATCATTGGGAAAATTTTAATCCTTTGAAATTCATGCAATTGTTGATACGTCAAAACAATTGCTTTCGTTACTCATTGGATTTCTAACTTTTTGTGAAAAGTGTGGAGCTTAACAATGTTTGACAAATTCGCGGAAGGACACCATAGCGTTTGAAATGCCTCTATTGATAAAAAGTGACTATAGATTATTTCTTAGAACTTATTTGTCCTTAAAAAAACTCGACTGATCTAGGAAAGCCACAATACTTGGAGAGAAAAAGTTTCGTTCTGAATTAGTAGGTTTTGTCTTGTTCGTATCGGCTGGGCTAACAAAATCAACAGCGAAAATCGTTAAATGCCTTCCGTTTTCCGTTTGTTTTATCAGATTCTCACAACGAGCGAGATATCACAGAGCACTTATCCTTAACAAATTTCAACAAAGCCGGGAAACGCTCGAACTCATTTAAAAAGCGGACTTAGTGTCGTCGACACTAGTTAAGTTATCTGATGGTAACATGATATGTAGGTATCATCGGAAAAAAAGCACACACGGACTGTTAGAAAAATGAGAATTTGAAATAACTGGGTAGAGTAGATAGGAACAAAGTGAGCAATTTTGGCCACGTCACGTTCAAAACTAGTTCACGAGATGTTGGAAAAGAAGTAAGGAAGTCACTGACGAAATGAAAATCGCACGCGTGATCATGTTTTAAACGCACTCTGTCCAGCAAGTGGAATCAGGAATTTTGAATATCGCTCGAAATGTAATGTGAATGAAATAAGATTTCTTTAAAACTAGGGGTGGAATTATTTCTATGGAATGACGTCCATAGCTAAGACGGAATTTCCTTGTAAATCTGTAGTGTCACGGCGGTTTCATAGTTAATGCTCTCAATGCAAGAACTTTTCGCTGAAAACTGACCATATCGTGAAAACGCGGATGCGAAGTAAAATCCTCATTAACCGCAATATCACGAACAACAAGCGTTTAAAAAAGTGTGTCAGAATTTCTTGAAATTGGCGTATAAGCTATCTCGATAACTCTTTTGCCTCTGTTACATTGCGGATGAAACGGAAGTAATCTTTGTTGTCACTTTGCCACTACATTTCTTAGAATCTAAATTGAGTATATGACAACTATAGTGAACTGCAAAAAATTAATTAGAGCCTTCTACAAGCGCGAAATGATTCATGAAAGGCTAGGCCATGGCTTGTTTCAAATCTAAAACATTGCTTAAACTAAAGTTAATAAAACCTATGGTCTAATATCAAATTCCACTTTCGTTTTCTTATTAGTAGGGAGTGTCAAATTACATAGCGATGTTCGTATCATATTTCTTGCTGATTTTACTTATTGGATGGGAAGTTACCGGGTTTTTTAACGTTCACTCATAAAACAAAATCATTATCACACGGAACCTTGATGGAATATTTGAGAAAAATTTAGATTATCATCAATCAGAAAAAATAATGGTAGGAAGCGTTTAATTTGAATAGGGAAAATGCATAAATTATCGTTGTCGAGTCGACATCAACAATCTTGAAGCATAATTCCAATAGATGTTGGTTTCGAAAACATCTTATTAATAAGAATGGCAAAATAAGGGGCAATATGAAATTAAATTCTGTTTCATGATTGTCATTTTGATCGTTGAAAACCTAGAAAATAAGGAAGAAAGAATCAGTTAATTCGTAATAAAAAAAGGAAGTGAAGTGAAAATTCAAATGATATATATATTTAGACGAGTCCCGCATATTCGCAGATTTATTTTTTGCCTGTTACAGGGATTATGGTAAAATCATTGTTATTCGTTTCCCCTTGGCATAATCACGCCACTATTTAACTAGCGTGGTCAGGGAGTTTTTCACAGTCGTTCAGGTGAACACATTCATTACAGCATCAGTTGGAAGAACAAGAATTTCTAGTTTTAACATGAAGTCGTCAAAGTTAGGTAAGTAGATAAATGAGTGAGTTTTAGGTTTAGAATGATCTGGTTTTTAAACACTTTAAAAGAGCCTTTTCACCGCTATTACTACTACTAAGGCACTTTTTACAAACACAAAAATTAAAGGCTATTAAAATTTCATTTAAATTCATTTTGTATTTGTTTGGGTGAGAACAAAAAAATGAAATGAAAACATAAGTTTCTGAAACTAAAAAGTTTCACAGCAATATTTGAGCAATTACTTTTTTAGTTCACAAATTTTAGCTTACACCTCAAAAGGCAGCTGAAACGTCGTTATCTTTGAAAAAATATATATATTTTTGTTCGTATTCCTTTGTCATGACTTTCGATCTTTCTTTATTCCGGAAGGTTTCTCTGGACTTTTCTTGGGTCTTTTGGGCGCCATGTTCATTGGTAATTCAATGGCGGCCCCAGCAAGCGGGAGACAAGCGCGTATTGATTGGATGAAAGGTTGGATATTTGGCCAGTCCCGAAGTCTCCAGAATATGACGGTGACATTGCAGGAAGAATTTGTAAGTGACCGTGTGAGAGGTTAATTTTTTGTTGTTTGAATTTTAATTACTTTTATCGATCTTGATTCGGAATACATAGCAACATATGATGATCCGGGAGACATAAATTCGATAAAGGTCGGTTATCATCTAAAAAAAAGAGAAAAAGGAAGATCCGGGAGACACGAATTCGATAAAGGTCGGTTATCATCTAAAAAAAAGAGAAAAAGGAACTAGGAAAAAGCTAGCCAAAATGTACCCAAAGTATAACTTTTTGCGCGGACTTAGCTATCAGTTGAGGCAGACCGGATCAAGTCAAGAAGCAACTTCGGATCATATCATAACTGCAAACGTGGCTAATTGATGAGACCGTGTATATTTGCTAATGAAGTAATTCTGCCCTTGATGGAGCTGAAGTAATATTTCATAAAAGGAAGTAACTGCGGTGTGAAAGCTCCTTCGACACCGAAGAGCGCAGCGCTTAACAACCAGACGGGCTAAGTTATAATTGAATGAGCCTTTTTCAACTCTTTGACCATCAATTTCAGAGGTGGATATTCTGTTACAGGATAAAAATATCTTTTGACTGATTTCGCCCGAAACTTCTCTCCAAGAATTTCTCGTGTGTCAAATGCAGGGTATAGTGGCTAGATCGCGCATGACATAAGGAGCAACAAGCAAACGACGATTTTAAACTTCGATTTTGCTCACACACTATAAACCTGAAGTGAAAAAAGGAAGAGAGAAACAGGAATAACAAAAATGGAAAATATGCGGATCACAGAATAAGTTCATAGCTTCACTTTTGACGAACAAATGGCTGACAGCAGATAGAGGAAAGTTCAGTGACTTGCGCTTGTCGTGGATTTCACTTTTAAACCCTCTCATTTCATGTCATCTACTTGATAGTAAATCGTAGTACTCATTCCTCGTATCTAATTTACCTTGCACAGGCGTCGGTCCGTACGGGTAGCAAAGACAACGATGAGTATTACCTCAGAATTCCATGCTTACCACGACCTTCATTTGATCAGGATGGTGTTTCCGTGAGTCATCGATTAAATCATTAATTGATCCTTAAATATAAATCATATCCGTTTGCGGTATCATGGTAAAAGTAACAGATCACAAAGTGAAACCTCACTTACCTTGAAAGTTTAAGAAGTTGCTAGCGTTAAGATATTGGCCAAGTTACCAAATATCATGTTTGTTTACCTTGAGATGTCACGGTTCTAGGAATGCTAAGAGAGTACGAATTCAAAATAAGTTAGATTTTAAACGGTGAGCTTTGCGTTTTCCCATTCACGTAGCCTAAAATGTTTTGATCTTTCACACATCTTAGCAGTCCTGGGTCTCTTACATGCTAAAAATTACACCTGTCCTACTCGTCACCAGCAACTTTTGCATTTCAATCTACCAAAGCCTCTGCGTATGTAAAAAATGCAAATTTCTTTACTCAAGTTTGAAATTGAAACAAACAGAGGGGCCAGACACAAAAGATTTCTCGGAATCGCCGGAACTCTGAAGGAAAACGCGTCTTAGAGTTAGTCAAGTGAGTGATTCAAAACGCTCAATATCTTCATCATCTTTCAATTACAGGAAACAGCTCTCTTGGAAACAGATGTAAAACAGTTGTATATCTTCAAAACTTTTCTTTCCATTATGAAAAATCAAGAAGCCCAGATCCAAAACAGTCCTTTTAAGGGAAGACTGCAAGATGTAGAGAACGGAGTCAACCTCCTCATCTCACAAATGAATGAACTGGTGAGTGGGGAAAATTATTAAAAACGATATGAAAGTAAATGTTTCTTATAGTTGCGTAAAGAAAAAAATCTGAACTTCCATTTTTTTCGTTCAACGTTACGTCACACTGTGATTGCACGTTTGAATTAACGAGAGTCTGCGATAGACAGTGACACACGATAGACAGTGACATTGGCATTTGATTTGACAGTGACACACGATCAGTGCAGTTGAGATCAAGAGATAGCCGAATGAATATTACATTGTACACGAGCTCGAACTACACGGAAAACGGCCATAGCTCGAAATAACGAAATTGCGGTAAAATTTGGGATAAAATTCAATGACAGAACATTGACGTAGGTGTAGGGAGGGTGTCAGCCTCAAAATGACGGCAAGTAGCGAGGTATCGGGGCCCCGAGATTAAAAAACACTCCCTTGAATATTTTATTAAAGGAATAGTATACAATATATTTATGCTTTGGACGAAAGTGGATAGTTTCGCTTTCTCAAGAGTCTCAATATTTCCTATAAATATTCGAGGGAAACATTTAGCCTCAAGACAAAAGAAAAACAAACTTTACCCTAAAGGAACACAATCTTTAATTGTTTTGATTTACATTTCGAGAACGGGGAGATTCTAAAGACAAAAAACAAAGGAGCGTCTTTCAACACAATGCTTCTTGAGAGAGAGTCTAGCCAAACAGACAAAGATAAACTAACTTTCCCCAAAGGAACAGACTATTTTAAAAGTGTTTGTAATAAGTCCTGAGAATTGAGATATATTTAAACCAGCAAACAAAAGAGCATTTTGTAATGCAAAAACAAATTTTTTAATTCAGTTAGAACTTAGGAAACTACGACTCCACAACAAAATGTGTTAAACGAAGGGTTTTTTTCCTTTTCTTTATTTAGCAACGGCAACTTGGGAGTAAAGTGACTGGCCCAGGAAGCTCTCCCCAGCCCACCTGCGCGCCACCTTCAACACAGAAGGAACAGGACAAATGGAAACTCGCAATAATCAAGGAATTCAGCTTATGGCTAATCCCAATTTTGGCTGAATTTCATCAGGCAAACACCTTCGCTTGATTCATCTGATCCAAGAGTTAGCTTGTTCGTACATTGTATCAATGAACCATATAATGTAGAGCTCAGTGCTCGTTGCTTTAGATCCATCTCGTGTTTGTATTAAATAGGATTACCTTGTCATCATTGGACTATATCTAGTTGCACCTTGCTAGGAAGCCTTTTTATCTTCCATTTATTATTAAATATTGGTACAGTAAAAAACCATCACTTTTGTATGGACTAAAATAAATTTAGAGAGTATTTTTTCAACTTGACTTAAGAGTCATTAGAGAGAAAATTTTATTAAATTTCATTCAATTCTACATTTTTTGAGCTCTAGCGATTGTACTTCGTATTTCTAGTTTTGATAATTTGAATAAATTTGAATTTTTGTAACACTTATGACTGTATCGTTGATTGGTCGAAAACTGAGTATTTAATTAAATTGATACTAAAGTTAGATCTACACCTTCCCAAGATGAGACGACAGGTAAAAGAGCAAATTGAACTGACCTCTTTACATCCTTTAATTCGGGAGTCCTGTCTGTTTCCCGGTCTGTCATCTGTCACCAGCTGCTTGCGTCATTAAACTGTTCCGTATTAGCTGAGACACCGCCTCACACGATTTAAGGCAAAACTTACCGTTGTACTTGTTCCGTCACGCTGTCGAAACCTAGCTTAATTTCTTTCAGTTCAGTTACAGTGTATCGATCTTTTCTCTTCTCACACATACTCGTTCCTTTCTGTCTAATGTCGCCTTCTCGCTGTCTGTCTATTTTAGCGGACGATAATTTCAATCCAACAAGGCCTCCTTGTACATTAAGGCAGTTTCCTTATAGCTTTAATTTTGACTCCAAATTGTTTACCTTGCGCAGAATCTTACACTTATTTTGAGCTCCAAATCTAAACAACAATTTAAAAGAAAACCAGTTAAATTGGTGGAAACGAATCGGGCGATATCACTGTGACATCCACGAGATTGCCCTTCGTTTACTGTTTTTCTCTACTAAATTGGAATTCGAACTGTGCGTTTTTGTGAAAGGCGGACAACAGGAGAACCCCGATGATGACCCGCTGAAGCATCACAGAGAATCAACAAGGATTTCAACCCACAAGAGAAGCCCCACAGTGAGTGGATAATTTGAATAAAAGCATCTTATGAGACTCTTGAAGTAATTAAGATAAAGATAAAAAGAAAATGTAATCCTTTGAAGTCTTCTGCTGTTTTGCCTCTTTATTTTGCTTTTCCATTTTTTTGAATTTGGTTTATTCACGTTTTTTTTTAAGTTTAAACCACGATGTTGGTCATGTTGCGACGTAATTAAGTTCGTTTATTTTGCAAAGTGGTCAGTGTTGAAACTCTTAGGACCAATACTGAAGGATATCATTGAACGGATTGATCAATTATTCTCTGCCATCTTCAATGAAGACCATGAAATCATCAATCAATTTTTGTCAATGCTGAAACAATGGGAAACGCGCAATTTTCCTGAGTTAAAAATCTCTGTCCGTTTATGAGATAAAATGAGGATCTCTAACATGTCATGAATAAGATTGTGACTGTGCCAGTTATTTGCATTTGAGTACCTTACTTATCGAATCAATCGATAAGGCTCTGTTGCACAATGCTTTGTTCTGAAATGGACGTCCACAGCTATTGCAATATACTTTCATCGTTACAACGCCATGTTTTGGTTTAATTTAAGTCTTTCTATTGCAAACTCATTGTATATTTGTGTTAGTTTACTGCGTATCTGCTAGAAAACCAATGGATATAAATAAATAAGGCTTTGCAGACGACAAATGACTTTTATTGAAGAAATTAAGTGAAGTGTTTACAAATGTGCGTTTCTGACTATGGCTATAGTCTCATTTTCACGTCTCATGAATAAAATAAAAAACACCAATTGCGATCAGTTTTTTTCATTATTATTTGTTACTTACCAGCCGTAATAGATTCTTGCAGCCAGAACCAACCCATTTAGCCGGTAGATATGTCCATCAATGTATCTAAAAATGTATTTACAAGTGGATTGTTTGAAGCACGTAAATAGCTTTCACCAGAATTAGTAATAGGCCCTCTGTTACTAGTCACAAAAATCAATATCATCATGATGACCAATTGTTTTCTGAGAAAACAATTGGTTAGCCGGATAAACCTTGTGTAAATAACCGGCCACTAGTTATTCTAAACAATGAGCCGAGTGCCACAGTTGACTTCACTTTCTCGTTAACAAATTTGCATTTGCAGCCAAGCTTTGTTCATTGTTACTTTTCGTCACGTCACCTTGTTCTTGAAGATTGCTTTCTCAGATAATTGTAAACCATTTTCACAGCTCAATTGTTATAAAGATAGGGCAAAAGAAGGGCGATCTTTTAAACACTCTCATTCAACTTGGCTTATTTCACTCGTTTTACAAAATATTCAGATTGTCGATGCATTCATCGGGAGCACTAATCAAAAACATGAGTCATCTGAATCGTTGCTTGTTTTAGATACTTTGGTAAACTTCCAGACAGGACCTTAAGCTCATCTCTGTGTGACGTTCAGGACATGGCGCAATGCGAAATTAATAAGAATTTTTCGAATCAGGAAGGACGTGAATGTGCAGGGTATCAGCGTTACCTTTCGCCGAATCTACTACAGTCATGCTCTATTTGTCAGACGCATTTGCTAATTTTAGAACACTGCTGTTACAATGTTTACAGTGTCTAACCAGAATGCAAATTTTTTGAACAGCCTAATAATAGCTCTCTTATTAGAGACCTGCTAGATACTTGTGTTTATGTCTACTACCAATTAACATATCAGGCCTACGCTACCATGGCCAGTGTGTACCAGTTTTCACTGGTCTTAACCTCTTGTCCGGAAGTCTTTGTGAAGTATTATTTTTTACAAATGATACCCGTAAAATTAGTGGCAATTTTCATTCAGCCTTTGCGGTTTATGGGAAATTCAAGTATGTTAAGATAGATTAGCATTCATTTCCGGTTAACTAAAAAACCCCTTTTGAAGTTCACAACTTAAACATATCGTAAATTTTAAACTTCTTAATTCAATAAGTTTTATTCCGAAATAAATTTTTTAACTGTGTGTAAAGCCTGCAGTTACTTATATGCGTAACTCTAGAGTGATCAAGAGGCAGTTTTAGGAAGGAAGACGATGGGACCACATCATACTGGATGAACTCGAGTTGAAAAGTCCCAATAATCAAGAGCTCCGGAAGGTACCGATTTGCTTAGGAGGAAAATACCCATTTTGAAATTTAGAAACATGACATTCAAAAAGGATTTCCTCTTGTTATATGTTGTTCCATAAAAACAGCCGCACAACATGGGGTTTTCTCACTTCAGAGTAAAACTACCAATCTGCGTTTTCACTGAAATTTGATCCTTGCGATTATTGACTGGTACATCGAATTTCGCTGAAGAAAACTGCTTCGTCGTTGACATGGGTGCAACAAGTAAGTTTCCCTGCAGTTTACCCTATCTTAATTTATATTTTACAGTCAAACTATCCCTAACTGTTTGAAGTTGTGAATTTAAGAGTATCGTATGTGAAATAACTGAAGTAATTTAAGCCGCTATGACTACATTTCCTTTTATGGGTAGCGCTTTACTGAGACGAGAAGTAAGTTTCATGGAAAAGGTTAAGTGAATTAGTTTAACTTACTGATACTGAAAGACGATCGAGCATATCAAGTTTCAATTTGAGGAGAATCAGTTCCTAACACGTATCTTATTACAGGACATTTCGCTCCCGCGTTTACGTGATTTACGTAGATTTACCGGCCCAAACTGATCTTGTTATTTTATCCACATTTCCTTATTCTTTGAAGTACTTATAAGAAAGACATATCTGTGTTTTTTTCTTGGTTATTGTTTACAGAATTTCTCATATTCTTCTTTAATTTTCAGGCGTTTCATTCCTTTTAATTTTGTTGGTTGGAGTTACTCGTTATTCTGTTGGTGCTCCACTTGGGAAAGAAGTACTACGTGACCGAATCAAAGAGTTCTTCAGGCGGATGGCCTATCTCTGTGAATATCAACAACCAAAGCTGAATGACTTGGCATACGAAACAAAAAGAGCTTTTGTAAGTAAAGAGAAATAAATGTTTTAGTTTTTTTTATTTTTTAGGACGAGTTACGTATAGTACAATGTAATAAGGAGCGGGGTAGGATTTGCGAAGAAAAAAAACCTCTAAGGTAAATTTACCATGACTACAGAATTCCCTGGAAGGGTATTACCGAGTAGTGGCGTTCACTTCCTATTCAAAAGCTAGTATGAATATTATTAATAGCAGAAGCAATTGTCAATTAGCCAGTCAGAAATTAAATTCAGCTTTCACTTTCCAAACACACCAAAAAGACACGGCCATCAGTCGGCTGCGCCTCGTGAGTCCACAACAGTTTGACCCCAATGATGACGAATATAGTTGTTGATAAGGAGTACAGACCACGCTAAACCACTGTCGATTTGTTAATTATAACATAATTTTCTATGGAGCTACCATAGTAAAAATTCTTAGGTACTGCATGGCCATTCATCCATCATAACACATAAAGTTTCACTTCGGCCGAAAAAAGTTCCCCTCGCGTTTAACCGGGAGGTTTAAAAAATTTTGAGATAGTTTTTCCGATCTATCCTGATTGAGATAGCCCTTTTGGAGCTCAAAATGAAAAAAAAATTGCTAAATAATACTCTTTTCGAAAAACAATGAGTACGTAGCTCTTTCAAGCGACGAAGTTAGTTTTGGAGTTGACGATACTTCATTCCAAAACGCGATGCGAATTATGGCTGAAAACAAAAATTAATTTACTGACTTCAACTGAGGCTTTACGACTTTGGGGACCCTTCATTGAAACGGTAAATATTGCTTTGAAGTGTTTATATGTCCCAAAAATGTTGTTCAATATAAGAATTTGTTCTGAAATCGAAAAATTTTCAGAATTTTTAAAACAAAAAACAAAGCTACGCAATTTTTGGTCGTGAATTCTTGTAAACAACAATTCAAGTAGGGTTAATCTACCAGACAAGTCTCGTAAATGGATGAGATTTTTAAGTTTTTCGCTTCGTTTTTCGAACGGTTGGTATTATTTTTAAGTGTTGATATTTCCTAAAAGTATTGTTCAGTAGAAGATTTTAATTTTAAACCGTACAATTTCAGAATTTTTTAAAAATTTCGACACAAACCTACGCAAATTTCTGGCCGTGAATTCTAGTAAACAACGATTCAAGCATCTACTACGTGATCGCGTGCATGCAAGAAACTCGTTCGTTTTTCACATCTGGACAGAAAATTTACAATTTTTTGTATTAAGATTTGGTCTCGAAATGTTTCACGACCGTTTTTGTCTTGTTGTTTATTCATAGTTTTCGGGTAGAATACGTTTACCTGGTAAACCCGGTACAGATGTAATAAACTCTTTTTTTTCGAGGACAACTTGCGTCTGCGTTCTATGTTGTAAAAGAATTGGTTCTTGCTTTGGTTGAGCGTATATCGAGTTAGGATGCACTTGGGAAGTTTGGAGAGCACTAAAGAAGCTAGATTCTACAGTTAGGCAAAGCATTCTGAATTTAAACCTCTGTATCTTTTTTATTTAGGCTAAAAAATACTTCGGCGATCCTCTGGAAGCAAGACCAGTAACCATGAAAGGAGTAGAGCTGCTGGATAACCGCAAAAGGCTCCCGGTAAGTTGATCTGAGCTGTTTCAGGGATGATATTGATGGAGAAATTAGATGCTGCGAACTATTGGGAATTTAAGGGTAAACAGAGCAGGAGAAATCACTCTGATCTTGGTGTCATGATGTTTTTATTCATTGTGGCAGCTGACATCTAATTTGAGTATTCATATTCTTACTTTCAGTTGCACGTTTTTGCATCGAAGGCATACAAACAAGTGGCTATATTTCACTCAGTCTTCCAAGATATTACACAAAATTGGTCCCAGAGTCAACGAGAAAACAAAGAAATTAAAGATAACCTCAGAGGCATTCAAGGACGCCTTCAACACCTGAAAAAACTCATGGAGAAAGTGGTAAGAGAGCAGTTTTTATTTTGTTTTATTTTATCAATTTAGTCATCCAGAAAATTCTCTATATTCTATACGCAAGCATATTTTATATATGTTAATGTGACAGCGATACACCTAAAAAAAAGTCTGGTGTTTTCTTTTTCCTCTGAGTCTCCACTAGCATTAGTTCTCCCTCTAACGTCCCTTTCCTTTTTGTTTACAGGTCCGTTTGAGTTCCCAGTCCCCTGGAAATTCTTCTCTGCCTCAAGTTCCACAGCCAAACAGAAAAATCTGGAGCGATTCTATTCATCGACAGAAAGCCTGGATATTAGGAGTATTGGGAGAGTTCAAACTTAGTCTCATTTACCTGCGGCCCGCCATAAGAAAGCGCGCGTGTAAAACATGCAAAGTGAACTGACTGAAAAGAGTTTGTTCATGTACACTGTATCAGTGATTTATAAAGTAGAGTTTGTAACAGCTCAGCATTGGATAAGTTAACTCATAAGATTAATTTTTAAGTCAGAGCTCTTCTTAGAGTATTTTCAAATACCGCTTTTTGTAAAAGCTGATTATATTTGTTAGAATTCACATTCATTGTGGCAAAAGCAGGCAATATATCAAAAAAAAGCAATAAGAAAAACAATAAAAAGTGTATTTTTCTGCTGGATATTTATTAAAAATGCCTTGTAATTCATTGGCATATATTTATTTTTAAGAAATTACCAACAATCAAGTCAAGATCATTAGAACAACAAAGAATTTTACCATATTATCGGAAATATTTTGTAAGCATTCTATATTATAATAGATTATATATTTATTTATCAATTCCATTTTTATTATAAATGTTTTTAAATATGCTTACACTTGTCTTGATTTGTTTCTTAATTCTGAGATGATTTTATTTGCCACGGGACCCTTACTAGAGAGTGCTTAGCGTAATTTGTACTCGTGTCACAACTTTGAACTCGCTTTACATGAGAACGCACTCGTTTTCAGCCAAGCAGGAGCGCGTAATTTTTTCGCGTACATTATTAAAGATATAAGTGGGTCGATGGACAACTGGAGTAACACAGGAAAGCTTGGATTTTTAGTATTTAATGGCGCAATCTGGGGCTGTTTGAAAACCAGCAGTCAACGAGTATTATTTGGAGTGAATAAAAAAAAAAAAAACAAAAAAAACAGGTAGAGGAAAGAACAATGAAATAATATTATAAAAATACTCTGGTTAGTTCAAGCTTGTCAAACATTAAAAAAAAAAAGAATCAGCTTTGAATGATAATAATATATACAATTCATATAACGTTTATGTAGAGCCTTTAAGCGCCTTACGTCGTGCAAGAGAAAGCTATCTAACCTAATTACTGCAATATTACAAACTTTGAAGATCTCAACAGTTAAAATTAAAAAACAAAAGCTCCGGGAACTTTCTAATTTACGTTTTGAACTCAGTTGATAACACTAAATCACTTAAAAAAAAGGTTTTAAAATAAGAAAAAAAAAAGATTCATATAAACAGAGCAGCTACACTAAAAGCTCTGTCCCCATAAGTTTCAGTCTAGGATTTTGCTACTTGGAGACGGTTGGCAGAAGATGCTAAGTCGTCTATAGTAGGCCTGTAGTAATTTATCATACTTGAAATGTAGCTGAGTGCCTGCATGATTATTTAACACTATAAAAAATAAGACACAATTTTATGCATAGCACACTGCAAGTGAAGTTATTTTAGAGCTGGTATAATATGCCTTGGTTACATTTCCTGGTATATGCTATTAACCGCGCCGCAGAATTCTGAACATACTGTATACTTCTGTAGTTATCTTTTTGTTGACACCATACAACAGAGCGTTACAGTGATCAAGCTTGGAGATAGCTAATGCAGGAATGAGGATTTTGTCAAACTCCGGAGTTATGAACTTGCCGATTTTAGCTATGCACTTAGGTTGATAAAAAGAGGACTTACAGATGGCATCGACATGATTTGTCATGCTGATATTTGTTGAATACAACTCCTATATCTGCTGGGGTGCATGTATTATGTCTCCAACATCTAAAGAATATATGCTGGGCTGAAATCTAAATTTAGAGCCCAAGATCTTGGCAATCCTGATTCTTTCGCCTCAGAGCATATTATGGGAAACGGTTAATGATAAGGAGGACTTTTAAAAGCAGGTTCGCAATTAATAATCTTTTTTAACAGTAGATTAAATTTACTTGGGAAGTTTGACGGTTGATGGATGACACTGCTAAGGCCTTCTATATGACTCTCAGTGAGAGTCATTGGGTGGGACTTAGTCTCTCCCGGCTTAGCTTGTTTCTGTTACCCGTTGTACTGAGCCATTGCTTCTAGGAGATCACCGAACACCATTTGACAAAGGCTCTTTCGGTTAGCTGTAAAATTGAGATATGCTAGATATCATTCAGATATATGATCATGGTCATCAAGCGGTGCCAATATCATTGAGAGAAAGGAACTCACAAAGTAGAAGCGAATGTATTGTAGATAAAAGTGATAAGAAGGTGCCAATCGTTTCAAATGAAACACGATGGCTCTGTTAGCCTGAAAGTTTATTCCCATCGAAATTTCAACAACAGAATAGAAGGAAAGGAAAAGGTATCACCTCACCTCTCTAACAATGATCCTGATTATCTCTTTCATCGGCCGTACTTCTACATGCATGAAAACCTGCACGGTTTGCGAAAAAACTTATTGTCGTTTGTTTGATGAAAATTTTTTAGCATAATATTCCTGTTTTCTTTTAGTTGAAGGGAAGAAGCAATTCAGGCTTAATTGAACGTATCCCTTCTTCGATATACTGCTAATATTCAACATAACTGGCTAAACAGCTGTGTCAATTAGAAAAGACTTGTACGCTTGTACGCAAAATGGATTGATAAAAAACTGACACCTGAAGACGCCCACAGCAATAAAATTAATTTGCTGTTGTTACTCCATGCACTGCCAAATCTAGACCTGAATAAGCATAATGCTCTCCCTCCTGAGGCCAAAATTTTCCAACAAAATATATCACCTCTCTGTTGACGGAGCAAACAAACTCGTGTTGAAAGTAGGTTTATCCATTTTCGACAAAATAACGAGAGTAAGGGATCTTTCGTCGGAAAACAATTTCACAAACAATGACGGAGACACACACAAAATTCTCATGGCCACTTGTTGCGGTATGTCATAACCCTTAATTTACTTCATTGTCCGAATTTTTTAACGTGCATCAACAGCTTTCAATAATGAAGCCCAAAACAAAAAACGGAAATTAAATATTGGCTCAGCTCGAGGTCTGCTCGATAAAATAACGGGGCTGTCCTAGTGTACCGGTACACGGGGGAATTCCTATTGTTTTAATATCCATACATGGAGTTGTGATGTAGTTCGTTAATGTTTCGTTCCTTTGTGTACCGGTACACGAGGACACAACCAAAATAACGTTATCACATGAACTTGTTACCACAATTCATAGCCCTGATAGCAGACGAAAACGCCTCTCGTGTTGATCCGACTTCACCACTGAAATTTCCCAACTGACTGTGCAAATATGGACTACAAACTTGCTGTTGTAATATTGACAGCAGTAGCCTGTTTCAGTCTAAAAGATAATTCTGTGTTGGCTCAATCGGAATGTACCTTGGTTGAAAACACCTCCGACAAGTGCCACAGTGCCAATTATATCAAAATCCTGGAGCAAGAGGTACACAAAGGTATGGAAAAGAGAATTAAACTTCCAGGCAGGCAAAGAGAAATCAGATGGTTATGCGGGTCATCAGAAGAACGTACTGCATGGGACACCCCTGCCAATCAGCTTCGAATCACCTACCAGAGCGACGGAACAGTCCGATGGAGCGTTTACGACTGCCCTGACCTCTCAGGGCCAACGAAAGCTGGATTACGATGCGATGTTCCAGAAACCACCGAGTTCTGTCCTAAATTTAATGGAGCAAACTCCAGTGCTTGTGTCTCCGAGTTGAAGAAGTCAACTTCTCATGTGGATCAGAAGACTACGACATTATCAGTCACTGGGACTCTGAGAGCAGAGGTAGAAAAGAAGGCCGGTCCGCTGACAGCAAAAGGTTCTTCTGAAGTACAAGGCGCAGTCTCGCATTCCATCACCAAAGCAAAAATCGTCACCTACTAGTCCCGACAGTTTCTCGTAATACCCCCAGGGTTTTCCTTTTGCGCCTTCACCAACAACACTAGTGTGGATGATGTCAATGCTCCCACCGGTTTTCGTTGCGGATGCTCGTTCCCTGAGTACATTCAAGCAGCGGAGAAGTTTAGCAACGGACGCCGTACGAGCTTGGAAATCTGCGAAGTTGGTGTATGTGGAAGGACCGTGACGACAAGTGGTGGAAAATCTGTCTTCATGAAACTCACTGTTCTCGAAGTGTTCATGATCTTGGTATTTTTTCGTTCAGTTATTGATTAGTCGCAATAGTTAACGCTCGCTTAAAAGGTCCAATTTGGTTGTTGATGTGCAATATATATTCCGACTTCACTAGTCACAGTAGTTATAGATTATTCTGTAAATCAAGTCGTGGGCTTTTAAATCGTCGGTTTGTTTTAATGATATATTTGTGGGGCTTAAGAATTATCATTTATCATTATATGGTTATTTGTTTCCTGAGTGTTAAAAAAAAAAGAAAATATGTAATCATTTAAACTGTTAGTGATTTTCTCTTTCTTGACTCCTTAGCCAGACCTTAGACTGAGAAAATAATCAATTTAACCATATGTTTGCTTATATAAAAGTCAATGTATCCAAGCCGTTGTGTGATTCAATAAACATGTCACTCAAATGAACGGTTTCTTTCAGGGATACAAGTAATTTTCCTTTGACTAAATAATCCTATGTCACAATTTTCAGATTCTTTTGTTGTTCTCCGAAGGCAAAGGAACACCCTCGAAAGGAGGTGAAAAAAAAATCGGTTCCAGCTGAGTTTTCTATAAGTATACCCTTGATAACTTTACTCATTATACTGAAATCATCTTATTACGAGCAAGACTTCAGTTACTTGGGGACTCCATGACTCGTCTTGCTAGGAGCGGAATTAAAAGAATGGTCTTCCTGTTTTGCAAGTGCAATGATCTGCAAATCCTGAACGTCAAAGGGTTGCGGAAAAAAAAAAGATATAATGGTTGATTTTTGATTAGTTGAACAAAAGTCGGTTAAAGCTAAGTTTTCTAAAAGAATGTCTTAGATAACTTGATTCATTATATGTGGAAATCAACTTAATACGAGGAAGACCTCAGTTGCTTGAGGACTCCACCAGTCATCTGATTAGGAGCGGAATTAAAATAATGGTCTTCCTGTTTTGCAAGTGCAATGATCTGTGATACTGAACTTCAAGGGGTTGCAGAAAAAAGAGAAGAAATTGTGGTAAACTCTTTCCATTTTTCCATTAGCAGGAAGAGCGTGAGATGAAGTCCAATTTCACATTACAGAATTATGGTTGGCTGCACGGTTTCCGTCACCTGAAATGCGATTTGTAAAGAAGACACATTCTTTCGCGTTTTCAAAACCCTCCTCGTGCTCACAGTTCTATGGTTGGAGTGTTGTCTGCCTCTCAAGCCTTTACTTATGTAAATGCAATTTATTCCTCGGTAGTAAAAGTTGCGTAAGGTTGGAGTCACTACTTTCATCCGACGAAAACTAGCACGAGGAGTGACTCCGCTATTAATAGCGGTTTTGGCTTGGACGTTAAAAGAATTCAAGGAATTCGAATTTCTTTTCGATAAAAGTATCTTGAAAAGCAGGGGCTTGTGCTCTCAGAGATTTATCAATTTTTTTTCGGA